GCATGCTACGGACCTCTCCCCTAGTTTGCAGGGAAGATGCCAGTAGTTACTGACTGTAACATTTCTTTCTGCATTGACATTTTGTTCCGGTTTTGGTTAAACCAGAAAGCTGACTGTGTAGATCCAAAGACATTGCATCACTGACACAGTAGCCAAGAGACGGGAAAGCCGCCCGTTCGCTTCCATGCTGCATCAATATTTAACTGCTCAGGCAGAGGCGAATGGTCTGGTTTCCCAACATTTTTGTTCACATCGTTTCCAGTTCAGCAACTCTGAACAGCATCATTTCAAACAGTAGAACAATGCAAAAGGATCCCAGATGGACTCGAAGGAATGGGATGCTTGGAAATACCGCTGGGTAGGTCAACAAAATCCCCCACCACAACCCATTCAGCGCCACAGCCAGATCACAATGGAAAACACTAGTGCCATCAGCGAGACGTGAGAAGCCGGTGAGGAGTTACAAAGGACTATGTATGGGGCTGTTGTCAGGCTCCTGGTTCAAGACCTGTCCTCGGGGATAGGCTTCAAGTGAAGCTTGTGACTGTTCAGTTTCCCAGCTCTCTTTTTGTTCGGCTCAAAAGTGCTTCCAACAGGTTTATTTTCAAAGCCTGTCCAGAAGACAGGTACCTCCATGGATACCAATGGAGAAGATTGTTTACTTCTCCTTTGGGAGTAACAGTACCTAAAAAATCATAGGAAACAAGCTATACAGAACAGCATAATCCAGGGGCAAGAAAAGACTTTCCATCACAAAAGGTCCCTACCTTCGGCAGAAGTTACAGTTTCTCAGTAACTATCCAAGGACAATTAATTCAGAGCTCCTCTAATCCTACAGATCTGATCTTCAGTAGAATTGCACAGGCTGTAGCTCTGTATACAGTATCAACCACGTCTTGGGAGATTTCAGTGAAGTCTTGGACATTTCATTAAAAAAAAGGGTTGAAAATTAACTGAAAATTATTTTAGAAAGAAAAATAGTAACACTATTGTGACTCTGGTGTGGCCTAAGTTACCAGAAACAAGTTTTCACCTTAAATTTTTTGTCACAAACAGTGTCTACGAGACAAGCTAATTATAGACCACTTCCCAACTGCTCTGACTCCTGCTAGAACCATCCAGCATCAAAATCACCAGCTCTACTTTGGAACAACAGGGAAGGGGAAAAGCTGGAAGAGAAACAGTCCTAGAGCTCAACCTTTGTATCTGCAGGCAGTTTTTGCAGATGGCAGCAGTCCGTGAGAATGGTAACGAACAAATCACACTGCAATGCAGGGGACAGAGAACTATAAGCAATTCAGCAGAAATACAGGTTTTTGCAGAGGTTCAGAATGGATGTATTTTCACAAGGACAGTCAAGCCATGAAACAGGTAGCCCAGAAAGGTCGTGCAGCCCCCATCCTTGGAGGTTTTCAAGAGCAGACCAGAGAAAAACCTGGTCTGTCCTCATAGTTCATCCTGCTTTAAGCAGGAGACTGAACTAAGTGACCTCCTAAGGTATCCCCAACCTGAATTTTCCTGTAATCCCAACCACTGAGTCCAGTTTTCCAAGTTTCCCTAACCCTAACTCCTCTCCTAGGCAGAAGCTGATGTTACTGAAATTATGCACAATCATATCCCAGCCCACTAATTCCTTAAGGAATTAATTTCAAAACTTAGTTTAAATTAAGAAAAAATATATGAAGAGAACTGGTTTCCAAGTATTAAAAATAAATGCCTTGAGATGCTTCAGTCTACATCTGCCATGCATGTGTTGTGATGCATCTGAGAAAAGACTTGGGAACATGACGACAGGACATGACAATTTTTTATAATGTACAAATACACGTACACTGTGTGTTTAAGGAAAAGTCAGTGGTTCTTTTACCCATTTTTCTGGTACAAACAGGAATGGAAAGTTGGCAAAATGATGATACAGAACCAGGAAATACGGAATGAGAGCACAGGTAGAAGGAAACACGCTTACCAGATTTAGAATGCACGGAGGGAGCTAAGAGGAAGGAATACATGAGAAGGAAAAGCAGAGCACACCAGCTTTAAACTATGAGAGAGAAAGAATAACAAAGGCATACCTGGAACACAGCATGCAGCAAAATTCTAAGAGCAGTGCAGAACTATGTAATAGACAAGAAAAAAAATTACCTTACAGCCCGCAGCAATTTCTTCTTAAGAGTCCACCAGCAGCCTGCCTTCTGGAGAGATTCATCCCCTTCTCCCTCCTATGAGTCGACTGCTGTCTGTAAGAACTCAAAACCAAGGAATCCATGCTACGGTAGAGCTTGCTGTTACAATCCATTTGTAGTCTTCTTCACCCTCCTTCCATTCTTAACTGTAGCACAAAATGGCTTTGAAAAAGTGAGCATAATATCCCTTAAATTACAACTCTAAATACAGAATCACAGGAGTTGGAAGGTACCTTTGAAGGTGAATTGTTTCTATTTACAGAACTCCACACAATTTTCCTTCAATCATAAAAATATTTTGAATCGGTTCTATTGTGATCTAAGGTGATCTCTAAAGACTTAGTGTTTGCCACTCAAGCCTGCGACTGACAAAATCCATCTTCACTATCACTTTTCACTTTCTAATGATAAAGTGTTTAGGTGTTTTAGCAAAACGAAGATGTTGATTTGTTGAAGATTTGTAAACAGAACAACCGTGTCAAATAACTTCTAACTTCATTCTGAAGGCATGTGGAACTGAACAGCTACAGGATCTAAACAGATTGGCTGCTGGCTGAAATTCCACAGCATTTCTTCAATCAGCTGCACCGAGCAGCGCGTTAAGTTTGGGTTAATGGGGTAAGGATACGGGCATGGGCATAACATCTCGTCAGCATCCAAACAGCTGGATTGTACATAAAGGTTGAAGGCACCGACAGGACCTCAAAGGATACTCTAACCAAACAGCACATCCATTTTCTGCAGTGACACACTGCTCCAGATTAAAGTCCACAGCCAAGTTCCCAGCAACACCTTTGATGACCATAACTGTCTAACAAACGAGGGACCTTTAACAGGTTAGAGCAAGTAGCTGCCCAAGAATGGATGCAAGCTGTAAGGTTTTAATTCAGAAAACAGAGACAACAATAATCAAGTGGGAAATCTTTTATTTAAGCAACAAGATAAAAGTAAAAGCTATTCTACCAGGCAAAGCTTTAAAACTTTTTGCAGCAAAAGTTAAACAGCCAGGGAGAAGAGTAGTAGAATTAAGGAAATAATATCAAGTGACAGTCTTCTCTAAACCTGCTTCCAATTCTTCTAACTGCAAACCCAGCAACTAAAATTACCCTCAGTAATCTGCCAAAAACCAGTGAGAAGCATTTTTAATTAAAGTCATTCCCAAACACTCAAAATGCACGTTAGGAATCATGCATCTCTCACCTACCTGGTATGCTTGCACTGAAATATCATTACCAGCCTACATCAAAAAGGGTACAGTTTTAGCATTATCATCTTGCAGGTACAAGAAATAGCCAGTCTGCAAAGCTGTCCTTAAAGAACTTCTGACAGTGGTGTAGCTACTGTTCTGGGAATTACATTTTCACTTCCTTTGTTTCAGCTCTTATCCCAAGAGCTACACAGTGCATTCAGTAGGGACTGAAGTAAAATGTCAGCTTATGTAGTCTAAACTGCAGAAAATTTATGTGAAGCCTACACCACGACCGATGGAACTATGCTATGGGCAATGACAGCTGTCAGAAAGTACACCTTCTGTCTGTCTTAGTGAGAGAGTACACCTTCACAGGATGCCTACGCGTAAAGTGTCTTACCTGGAAAGACCGCTAAGAATGCACACTACTGGACAAAAGCATAATCCAAAAGAGAAGAGAGAGCATGTTGTGGTGAAAACAAAGTTGTTCTAGAGAAGAGCCCACTAACCGGCAAGCACAGAACAGCCTACAAGAACGTCACGAGGCACAAAACCACATGTGCCAGAAAACATTACGTTCTCACACAGCTTTGTAAAAGAATAGGAAGCAGTCTCCATCCAACAGGTTCCAAATAATTTTGCACAGTTCCCATTATATAATTTTCTTGTTAATTTTTAAACTATTCAGTTACCATTATTTTCATGCACATAACTGGACATGAAGAGCTGAAAGTCTGAGTGATCTATCATAAAGGGGGGGAGGGGGAACAGCAAAAAGCGATAAGCCGTCTCCTCAGTATCTGATAAGAGCTATTTTCCACTTCACAAAAACTTCTTGAATGCTTTCCATCAGGCTGCAAATGCAAACCCTGGTATTTCTCTGCTCTGAAGCATAATTGGTCCCTAAGAGTGAACTTCTTCCAAATAATTTACACTCAAGTGCTTGATTTGTATTAATTTGCCTAGTCTCAAGCATACAATGCTTTTTGGACACAGACAGATCTTTTGTGCAACTGAGTAACTCCTTCCTTAGGCATTTCCCTCATAAAAGTATTCCCAACTGTCCTGAAAAGGGATGAGTGTGTTACACATGGTATGCAGCAGGACACACTGATTCTAGGTCTTTAGCTGTGCAACAAGGTCAAGGGTCTAGCAGCTATTTCTAGCACTACTACTCCTGTAGTTGCACTGCCAAGTATGGAGTTTTCCAAGCAACATCGGAAGTATTCTGCTTAAGCAGGAAGTCACTTGATAAGGTTTCTCATAATGTTTAGAGAAGACCCTCTGTACCCTGTGCCAAAATGGTTCCAATGGTTCATGTAGTGAAAAAGCTGATAAAGCTTTAGGCGCTTCTCAAACCCTGCAGCTTTGGGAATTTTACTGTGATAAGCAGAGTAAAAAGAACTGCTGAAGCCACCGAACATCCCAGCTATTGCAAGCTCGTACTCTGAATGGCCGTAGAAGGAAGCAGGGTCAAAGATAACTGGCCCAGAATCATCCTCAGCTGCATTTCCTCCCCAGAGATCTCCATGCAGGAGAGCAGGAACAATTTCCATGTCACAGAACAAACTGGGTATCTTCAGCTGCAGGGGGGAAAAAAGCAAGACATGTAAGTACTACATTTTAAGGTGAAAGATTAGAGTTTTAGCTGCATACATGCAGAGCATGAATTGAAACTTCTTAAAAGTCTACTAAAAAACCCACATAACTTGAAGCGGCACAGGACCTAGTCAAAAGAGATGCTGAGAAAAGCAAGAGAATCTATTTCTCACAAGAGCCATCAGCTGAAGAATAGTCATCCAAATGCTTTTTAGTACTATGAAAATTTTTAAAATTGTAAACTGTATTTGGTACTGCAATATTGACCAGTTTTAATAGTAACAACACAGCCACCACCACAGCCGCCCACTTCGTCATGAGAGGGCTCAGGAATCTCTCCACAACCTTGAAGAGATTTCTACCAAGTAGTACCCAAATAGCTAATACCGCAGTCGCTCAATCAGACACAAACCTTAACCGAAGCGATAACATGCAGAACAGTACTGCTTACACACATTTCTCATCATGAACATGTTACAGGGAATGAGAGGTGTGAACTTCAGCTAGCATTTCCCAAACAGTAATACAAATGCTACTTGGCACACATTCACTTTGGAATATTCGCACAGGGTGATGTGGCAAAAGCCACTACACCTTCGAGCAAAGGGCATTTTAATCCCTAAAAGCTGGAGTCTCCTATCGTAGGAGCCTGGAGCATACCAGCAAACAGGAACTTTGTTTTATGAAAACAAAATCTAAACAACTGATACCTAGCTATCAGTATAATGAGAGAATTTCTCCTACCTGAAGTTGTGCCCAAAGTTCTCTTGCTTCCCTGTCTCCCGAATTCTTTTCGATCATGTCCATCTGGGGCTGGATTCTTTGCGTGGCAAAGAAAGTCACCCAGTCATTCTGCCAGTCATTCACCTGAAGGAACAGGATTGCAGATACTAGTTCTACGCCACAAAGGAGTCAGATTTTCTTCTATTTCAAATAAAGCTTTGAAGGATTATACAGCCTTTGTGCTGATACCATCCAGGACAGTAAAAGCTACCACTGAATAAACTGTTACCTTAAAACACTACATTAGGGGAATAAGTAATTTAAAACCCAAGCAACTGGAGAGCTATGAGTGCCCAATGCAGCTGTAAGTGCTGTCGAAGCACTACCTCCCTTCGCAGGCCGAACAATGTTTTTTTCCTTTTACGACTCCACAGAAATAAATTAATTTCCATTACAATTTTGGCCCTTTGTGTCACTGAAGGGAAAATAAGATAAACTTTAAGTTCATCAGTCTGATGAAGTACAACCTACCTGTGGAAGATAGCCACAGCAGGTAACTGTATGAAAGCCAAATTGATCCACAAACTGGACTTCCATTTGCCCTTGACCTTTACCTTTCAAACCAAAGACAAAAATCCAATACTAATGACAAGATTCTAAGTATCTACAATGCAAATGGACCTTAAAAACTATGCAAGGATACAATGCTGCTTCTACCGAGAATAAGAAAGTTGCATCTTAATACTCTTTTTGTTACAATGGTTATTGCTGTGTTTTAGAAGTTTTAAGCTTCATGTAAAGCAGCTGTATTATAACCTTCATAATCATATTTTGAGGTAGTGTATCTCCTCTGATAGCACTTCCTTGCAGAAACTGTCATTCAGGATCTCAAGGGTTCCAAACTGAACAAGCTTACACAGATCCACACAGAGCAAACAAAAGCAAACAGAAGATGCCCTGCCTGGGTGTTTTATCCAAATCTATTTTCAAGGTATCTTTAGTGGAAGAAGACAAACTTATCCTGAAATAACAACAGCTACTTTAACTATTTTGTAGATTATTATTAACTGGGTTAAATTTGCAAACAGCTGTGTACCGTACCAACTGTGCTCTCTTCTTTCCTCATCTTCTCTCCAAGTTGCTGGTTATGAAGGTGAAGATCGGCCAGCTGTGTTCCAAGCTTTGCTGAATGTCTAAGCAACAAAAGTATTCTTAGCAACACTGACACACGCATGAATCCAGTTCTTGATACTCCAGGAATTTCTTGAAAAGACTTATCAAGCAAGTGAAAGAAGTTCCGCATCTCTAACAAACTACATTTTCAAAATATTCCGGCCATAAACACCTCCTCTTGCTATAAAGATTGCATATTAACATAGGACAGAATGTACTTACATAGTTGTTTCTGAGAACACTCTTAAAAGTGAGCAGCAATCATAAATTTAGTAACAATGAGAAACTATCAACTCTAATTTCTCTGTGATATCACTCCTGTATGAACTTGCAGTAAGACAACTGTAAGAAAACATTGCACAGCATGTTAAGGGTTTTTTTGGTTGGGGTTTTTTTCCCTAAACTGTGTTTGGGAAATAGAGGCAAACAAAGCTCATACTCTTTATATCTCGGTCTCTAGAGTCTCCTCTCTAAAAGGCCTAGAAGATGAAACAGTCAGGTGGGGTTTATTTATTTAACTATCTATTTTTAATAAAAGCTTATCCTCTACACAGTTCAGAAACCTCTCTAAGTAATTACAAACTCTTACAGCAAGTTGCCTCCCATGTTAACAAAAGTATGATCCTCTCCCTGTCTCTGACCTCTCGCGTCTTTCCCTGTTCTCAAGGCACTGTCACGTAAGGCCAAGTTACTTCATTTTGTTCCTATTAACACAGATTGTAGCTATCCCCTGAAATTTTTATGCCAAAGATTGCATTTGCACACTTTTCAACTCAATCAGCCCAAAACCACCAGGATTTCTGCTTTTTCTCTTGGAGCTCACTGAGGTCCCTTCATGAATTAGAAACTCCACGGATGAGCAGGGTGAGAGATAGGACTGGCTGCTGAAGTTTGGAGATTGGTATGAGAAATTGGTCATGCCCACCTCCCTAACGGAAGCAGACAGAAGTATTCATCATACTTTAATTTACTCAAACATTTGCTATACAGTAGGGCCAAAGGTTTGAAACTCTCAAAATCAAGGCGAGAGTTGCAAAAATACTGAAATTAGGATTCATTCAATTGAGGAGGTGCTTCTGCATATTCATGACAAGCAATATTAAACACTGGTTCTTACATCAAAGGCAAGTACATAAGACAGGTGATCAGGCAGGTCATTTTCCTTACTGTAAAAAGAAACTCTACCATAAACACCACTAATTATAAAAAAACCCACAAACAAACACAAAACTAAAGTCATGCTCACTTCCTGATGTACAACCAATTTGCTAGGTGAACCATTATGAAGTATGATATACAGTTCCCTGCTGTACAACTTCCCAAATGTATCTTGACTTGCTTTAAAAAAAGCTGAAGTGTGTTTCCCCTCTGAAATCAAGCAACTTGGTTGTCATGACAGGCAAAATTTCTGTCTAATGGATGCCAAGATAATACTGTGGTTTACCTGTTTAAGCCTCTCATTTCCAAATGTTCCATCACAAAGAGAGTCCTGTCCCCAGGCAGGTCTATAACTTTAATGGGTTTAGGCACTTTTACTGTCTGAGTTTTCAAGATGGCTTCCAAACTTGCCATTTCTCCCTCAAACATTCTTCTGGCCTGCCAAATATTAAAGGAAAGCATTAGTCTCTAGGAGCACCAGTCAGAGATAACCAAAGCTCTTTCACAAGACCAATTAAGGCTGCAAATGTTAAATAAAGAGCTTGGGGCAAGTGATTACTGTACATACAAGATACAGACAGACCCACACCACCAGACTTGACAGTAATTTTACAATTATAGAAATTTCACTTCATAAACTGACTCCATGTAAGTGACTTCAGTTCTAGCATTCTCTTTAATTGCAAAAATAACTTAGAATGTCTCTTTACAACTGGAAGAGTGCAAACATAAAATGTAAGCAATATTTTATTAATGAGAGACTAGAAGAATGATGCCGACATTCACAGACCTCATAAGTTTCCTTACACAGATCACTTAGTAATACAGCTGATCTTCAAAACAGTCTAATTTGCAGTCACAGAATGATTTTCCCTGGCCTACTTCTTTTGCCTTAGGATGAGGGAAAGGGGGAGAGTATCAGTGACAGCCGAATGCCCCTTACCACACTTGCACACAGAAGCTCTTAGAATCCAAGTCACTACCAACTGTGTTTGCTTTGAATACACTCTGAATTGAGGACCTATTTCTGCAACTGTTACCCAAATTGAGTAAAATCTATTCTCTTGAGCTGCTCCACTGACATGAGTGCCACTAGTCACAAAAAGAAATACTGCTGTAGGTGAGTTAGGCTGAAATTGCAGGAAAAGGGTACTTGGGAAACCTATGGGGTGTGCTAAAAGCAAGGAAATATATCAATAAAATAGAACTAGCCCTTTAGTACTGATACATGAAATACAGTCAAAGGACAATTTGCAATAGACCTTGACTAAAAATTCCAAAGCCTACAAGAGATGAAGAATGAAGAACTGCTGAATTGACTTAGCCATGACATAGCTTTGTTCAGAGGAAACCAATAAACAGTGTATCTCTTTCCAAAGCACCATACTAGGTCAAAGTCAGCGGTTAACTTTCATAGAGTAAAACCCAGTGTTTTCTAAAGAACTCCGTTCTTCTAAAGAAACTGCTGACATACACCCACTGCTGCAGGCGCAACACAGCATTATAACACAGTTCGGCAAAGTTTGCTTTAATCAGCACTCAGAATTCACACACAGGCAAAAGCATACAAAATGAGATGATTGCCAAATATAAAAATCTATGCAGATCTTTTCTTCCAAACCCTAACCTGTAGCTAGCTGGATTGTATACCTAAATACACAATTAAGGAAGGCCCAACTGGAAAGACCATGCTGCTATCAATTCAAACTATTGTCAATAAAGCAGGATAACCTTTCAGTATTTTCCCATGTTACCAGCCCAGTGCATCTGATTTCCCATCCAGCTCCCTTGATATGATCAGAAAGCGCAGACATATTCGGAATACACATAGTTGCATATACGCTTACAAAAACATTTGTTATTAAAGGGAAATACAAGTCCTGACTTTTGTTCTTCCAGTGAAGCTATTTATTTGACAGGCACAAGTGTAGAGTACCTTCCACCTGCTTTTGCGAATAAGGACGCCATACAGACACGCTCCACCACACTTAGCTCTATTAAACACAGATATCTACCTTCTACAGCAGCTGGTAGCATGTAGTGGAATGAGAACGCAGAAAATCTTGAACAATTGTGGAAAAATGTCATTTATTGAGGAAAGACCCCTCTAACATACAGGGAATTGCTGGGTTTGTTACGACAAGGAGAGATGCATACCCTCAGCAGATAACTTTGTACATTCTAGGTTGCTCCAGGCACATTCACAGAACATGCAGCCACGGTGATACCAACGTTACCCCAGCCAAAACTGCCAACAGCACGCCATTGACAAGTAATACTGACACCGCCAACAGCGGCCCACCAGAAACACTTCTTCCCACCCCACCGCGGCCTCCCCATCCCCAGGCACCCCTGCCGCCAACCAGGCCCC